TTCACCATGATATTCTGCGTTTTTATTAAGAATTATTCTTAAATATAAAAAATCTTGGTAATGTAAAAAAATCTGCAAATATATTGAACTCAGTTGAATAATATTAATTATAATTATAAATAAACATACATTAAGCTGCCCCTTTTTAATAAAGATAACATATGTTCTTAATTAGCTATCGTATCTTTTTCTAGCCATCTATTTCAACAATATATCAAACTTTATCGGAACCCATTGGCTTGGTATGAGCTTTGCCACCTTTAAACGGGCTACATCTTGCGTGTTGCGGGGTTGTCTGTATCTGCCATAGATAAGTATTTATGAGCATCTTCATATAAATCAAAACAAAATTTTCCTATCATATCCATCTCGTATTTCGTAAATTATTATTGAAAAGTTATTTTTAAGCTACTCCAACCAAACTTTAGTCTTGGATTCAGTTAAGATTTAAAGAAAGGATCAACTTTTTTTATATGGGGAGATTTATAAATTTATCATGTTTCATATGTATTTGAACACGTAAACCCATCTATTGGACTAGCCTGAAATCCATGTTTGCATTATAATAAGTTGATTATTGGGTACTTGAACTTTATTTTACCCTTTTGTTTTAAACATTTTCATGCGAGAATCATAGAGGCAAACACGAAGAGAAGAAGAGAAGGCAAGGCTCCTAAGAGTTGGTTATTGGTAAATTGACTTGTGAACTTGGAGCCTTTAGCTGGGGCCAAGTGCAATAGGAATACTTGGAACTATTTATGGTGTGAATGGGATTTATTGAGGAAATTGTGCTTTGATACAACCTTATTTGAGACATCTTCAAGTACTAAATGTGGATACCTTTTTTAGCGAGAATTTGAAATTTATTTGTTATGTTGTAAATGATTAGTCTATTCTAGTAGATCCAATACAACTTTATTGGTAGGAAATTTTGATCTCTATCATGGTAAGATTTTTATTGTGGGCTTATTATTGTGGGGCTAGAATTTCTAGGCCCTAGGGCTTTAAATGTGCCTAAAGCCCATCTATATCTTATTAATGTTCCTTTTAGAATCTGTGGAAGAGTTTAAATCTATCTTTTTTTAACCATATTAGACCCTTTTGTTGATAAGCCTGACGTTTTTTTAACCATAATTAATCTTTAATTACGATGTCCAGTTCTGTTTACCGTGATAATGCAAAAATATCCCACCCAAATCCATTCAAAATCATTTTTCTCCTCAGAACTCTCCAAAAGGTAAAAGTAATATAATGGGTTTTAGATATTGTTCAGTTAAAAAATTGCAACCTGGCTCCTTTAATATGCAAACACTACCTTCGGGCCTAATTATAAAAGTCAATTGACTAATTTGAGGAGATTAAGAAAGTAAGTTGAGTTAGTTATTTGTCCTAAATAGGTGTTATCTTTCTTAAAATATCCTTGCTAATCAAGTGTATTAACTAGAACTATAATTATTAGAAAGATTATCTTGGAAAAAAATGAGTAAATATGAGAGACAAAGTGGATTAGGGTCTTATATTTAGGACCAAAATAAAAGTCAAACATGGTCTTATATTAAGGACCGGATGTAGTACTATTTTTTTATCTTGATTATAAGACCTCGTTTACAATTTACAAATCAAATCTTATAATTAGAACCAAAGGAGGTATTTCACTAAAATCCCAAAATTTTGCTACAAGATTTCATTATTTGAATCCCTCCTGTGAACTTATTTACTCTGAGTTTCTACCAATTCCAATTTTTTTTTCTATTAATGAGTGGATGAAATTTTATTTATGGCCTTTCAAAACTTATGATTTTTTAACTTTAAAAAATTGAAAAATTTATATTATGAGTATTATAATAATTTTGTTTAATTTCATTTTCACTTTTTTCTTGCTTTCGTCCTTCTGAAGAGTATAATAAAACTAAAACTTATGATATTTTCATTTCTTTATATATATATATATATATATTATATGAATATAACCGTGAGTTATAAGATTTCATGGTGGGAAAACAAAAAACAGAGTCATGAGATTTCATTTTGTTAAATTTTTAATTGACACTGAACCTTCTGGACACATATAATGATGATATCCAATTACATTCATTAATTTAACTTTTCAAGAGTTAACTAAGTGGTTTGGCCCAAAAAAAAAGAAAAAGTAGTGGACTAAGTGGAAACTTCTATGTGTCGGAATGTCCCCAGTCTAACTGCTAGTTGCTTTCCATGAAAAGGTGGACCTCAACTTGCTAATCAACAGCCCTAAACCTCTAATTAGCATTGGACTATATTATTAATTAGTTTTGAATGCTCATCCCCTCCAGTGGATTGCTGACTCAATGCTGACATAAACATGGTGTCATTCTGCTGTTACAAAATACTATTGGTACTCTACAAAATACAAATCATTCGCTGAAATTAACTTCCACGACATGTTTTATATACTCTACCAGGTTACTTCAACTAATTTATTAGAATTGAAAAATAGTACTTCTCCGGTCTTTAATATAGGATCTAATTGTTGAGTTGATTTTGGTCCTGAATATAAGACTCATTTCTCATATTTATCAATTTTCTCTAAATTACTCTTATAAATACTCCCTCAACCATAATCAAGTAGAAGAGAGAGGGGGCATTGAGAAAGATGACTGTGGTGTTTTAGGAAAAATATGTCACATTTCTTGTAATTAACTAACTTACATAACTTCCTTAATCTAATCAAATTAGTTAAATGGGTCTTATATTAAGGACCGGAGGAGTAGTTAATTTATTAGATTTATTTTAAATTATTTTTTTTAACTTTACCCATATTAAATGAGGCTATGAAGGAGAAAAAAATAATACAACAAATTACACTTTAAGCATGAATTGTATGAACAAAATTAACAAATGAACATTAATTATTTTTCAAGTTACTTATATTTTGAATCTAATAATTACAATTATTCTAGAAGCGAGTTACTTCTTTGGTCCTTAATGTAAGACCCATTTAACTAATTTGATTAGATTAAGGAAGTTAGTTAAGTTAGTTAATTATAAAAAATGTGATACGTTTTTCTTAAAATACCACAATCATCTTTCTTAATACCTCCTCTTCCTCTTCTACTTGATTATAGTTGAGAGAGTATCCATAAGGGTAATTTAGAGAAAATTGATAAATATAAGAAATAAATCTTATATTTAAGACTAAAACCAATACAACAATTGGGTTCTATATTAAGGAGAGGAAGAATATATCATCAAGCGTACGGAGAGTATTCACAGACAAGGAAGGGTCGTTGGTTTCAAGCGTAACCCGAAACATAAGAATTGATCTTCATAATTGTAAAGATTCACGGTTTTTTTTTTTTTTTTTTTGGGTGAAGCAACCGGGTATCCCCGCCAGATAAGCGACACACTAATCTCACTGAAAACTGTCAAGCAGTTCAATGACCGGGTGTCCCTTTCAAGCGGATTTTCTTCATATACGTCACCCCAAAATCAAAAACCGAGAATTAGAAACGCTTAACAGAACACAAGCCTTTTACCACCTGCGCTAACCCGCGTTGGTGGTGTGTAAAGATCAAGGTTTCAAGAAAAGTCATAATTATTAATCAGAAGCACTATATCTTATTTATAGGTGTTTGAAATATGAAAACTATAGTTTCAGAAGCACTTTTTCACAAAACGAGGCAAACTCCTCCACATATTTATTTCGTAATCGTAAAAGCACTTCTAAAATCATAGTTTGGTTTCTATCCAACACCCCTTCATGTATAGATGCACACATGTATGATATACAACAAACAATATGATACGACTGGCGTTTTGTAGTTGCACGTACGTTTTCAATCGCATCTCTCCCTCTGTCCTTTGTTTCCCCCTGTACATATGCAAAAATACTATTTAAGAAACTGTTGGATATTAAATATGAATATTTATTTTAACAAAAATTCAAACTTTGATCTGTCGTGATCTTTCTTGATTCATCTTACCGTATAATATAAAATAAATTATCACCCAACATCTTGATTTTATTTTTAAATGCACCTAATATTATAATTTTTTAATGATATAATTTTATTCATAATGTTTTAAATTTGATGCAATCTCACCATTTTTTTATTCATTTAAAAGTATCTTTTTTTTATCTTAACAGTTAAATTAACAATTTGGTTCCTTTTAATTAAGTTATTAACAATTTTCATACAAAGCAACTAAATTATAATCACATCAAAAAATAAAAAAATGGGTGAGATTGCACTAGATTGGGTAAAACTGTATCACTAAAAAAACTGAGGTATTGAGTACATCTAAAAATAAAATCACGGTGCTGACATCACCTTTACTTACCCTATAATATTCATTCAATATTTATATAGTAAAATAAAAGTTTCTTAGTGTTATTAAGGTAAAACAGGGGATTGAAAATCTTATAATTAAACTCAATACTCTCGAATTATTTGTTGGCCAATCTCTTAGAATAAAGAAGACATAACAAGTTTTATTCGTGTAATTATTTTAATTTTTTTATTAGTTATAAATATTTTATTCATTTTTTACAACATGAATATTCTTTTTTTTTTTTCCGTTTACACTGCCTGGTAATCCGGTGCCTACTGGCAATCGATTAATCCGAACTCGAGAGGTAGGAGTGCCGCCACATAGGCAGGATTGTCCCTCTCCCAACGAGAACGTTTCTCGAGACTCGAACATGTGTTCCATCCTTATGGGGGACGTTACCACTTACCAGTTTGACCAACTGCTCGCTGGTTACAACATGAATATTCTTTTTTTTTTTAATAACAAAAGACGCCTTAACTAGATCCTATAGGATTGTCGGTAACAGGGGGACAATCCGTAGCCAAAATAGCAATAAGTTGATCTGGAGGTTCAAAAACAGTATGAAACCCGGTAGTGCCCCAAGGCCTAGTTTCGCCAAATAGTCTGCAGCTTCGAGGAGCATAAGTAGTCTTGACTTCCCAGTCCCGATTCAATAAATTTTGAATTCCTCTTATAATTAAATGATCAGCATGGAGTTCGTCAGGTTTCATAGAGAGGAGTTCGAGAACATTTGTCGAGTCGGTTTCCAATATTACGCGCCTGAATCCCCCCCCATCCATGCGACTTTGAGACCTTAGAGGCAGCCATGCAGCTCCGCCGTTAAAGCATCACCAGAGCCAATATGACAGAAGAAGGCTCGGATGAACTCTCCCTTGTCGTTAAGCAACACGCCAGCACAAGCATTTATGTTTTGGAAGAATGAATAAGCACCATCAATATTTACTTATAGCCAATAGCTCTCAGAAGGTTTCCACTTCTCACCTCTTGGGCTGCGCTTCACTCCTTCCATATTGGTCCCTTGAAGACACATTTGAAGTTCATGCATATTGGTCAGTATTGCCCTTGAGTTAGTAATGATTGTCTCGTTCTAGACTTTCTTCCCTTCAAAGACAAATAAGTCCGACGTCTCTAGATCCACCAACAAATTATTGTGAAGAAAATACTCGACCAGACATTTGACCCCCTTCTTCTGATATCAACCCTGGGTAGTAGGTCATTACCGCAACAATACTTATCATCAGTTACTATCTTGACCCAGAGTTCATCACGACATTTAGCTAGCTTCCAGCCCAATTTCATTAGAAGAGACTTGTTATGCAGTTTCGCACGTCGTAACCCCAAGCCTCTTTGAGATTTTTCTTGACACACTACGTCCCATGCGACCAAAGCTGCTTTACGATGTTCGGGAGTGCTACCCCACAACATGAATATTCTATTCATGCACATAGTTTATTTTAACATTTATCTTATAATTTTCAATAGAAAATACTCTTTGGCCAAAAAAAAAATAGAAAATACTCTTTTTTTTAAATATATTTATTTTCTGTTTTTACATATAAATAATTATAAAAATTACAAAACACTCTTCTTTTTGAAAATTTTAGAAAGTGTCATATCCTCCATGTCATATTGTTTCGCGCATGGTTTTCTTATTTGAAAAATGTCTACAATAAAAAAACAAACTACTACTCCTCCTTAATATAAAAATTTTTTGACTTTTATTTTAGTTTTAGATATAAGATCCCAATTCATTTTATCTATCATATTTATCTACTTTTTTTCAAGATAATTCTTATATTAATAGTAGTTTTAGCTAATACATTTAATTAGCACTTGTATTCTAGAAAAAAACAACACTTATTTATTACAAGCAACTAATTTAATAAATTTTCTTAATCGACTCAAATTAGTGAACTAACTCTTGTATGAAGAATCGGAGGTGATATTATTTTTATTATTACTAATGAAATAAATAAACGAATCAGTCAATAGCAAAGAAAAAAAAAATCTACATTGTTTGACTCCCTTTGCCGGCTATACGACCAAAATTAGTCCATTCCTAGTCCAAAAGCAAATTCCGACAATTTCTCTCTTCCATAAACTCGCTTACTCCTAACCCCTTGAGATATGAACATTACCTCTTTATCATCAGATTTCGATCATTCTCCATCTCTCATTCCAAACCATTTACATTCTTTCTTAAATTTCCCAAAACCTTAGTCCTCCTTTAGAAAACAATAAGAAAACACCTACACCAACAATAAAAAGAAACAGAAAGAGGACGAAGAAACCAGAGAGCCAAAAAAAAAAAAGAATCTCTTGGAGACAGGATGGCCTCTCTTCCTCTACTCTTGGCCTCCTGTCCCTCGTCGTCCTCCACCCCATCTCCAGCGCCGCCGCCATCCGCCTCCGTGGCGTCCGCCATCACCCCTCCTCCTCCTCATCAGACCTCCCTCTCTTCCGGGAAGCCCCCGCATTCCGCAACGGCGATGAATGCGGCTCCAATGACGCCGACCGCATCCACGTGGCCATGACCCTCGACGAAAACTACCTCCGGGGAACCATGGCCGCCGTGCAATCGATGCTGCAACATTCCACGTGCCCAGAAAACCTCTCTTTCTATTTCCTCTCCGCTCGTGACGACCCTGAGCTTTACAACAGCATCAAATCCACCTTCCCTTACCTCAACTTCAACATCTCCCGCTTCGATTCAACCCGAGTTCAAGGAAAAATCTCAAAGTCCATCAGATTAGCCCTAGACCAGCCATTAAATTACGCAAGAATCTACCTCGCAGACGCTTTACCAAAAGAAGTAAGACGTGTAATATACCTAGACTCAGACCTCATCGTCGTCGACGATATAGCCAAACTCTGGGGTGTAGACATGGAAGGGAAGGTCGTCGCCGCACCGGAATATTGCCGCGCTAACTTCACTGTATATTTCACGAGCAACTTCTGGTCAGATCCTTACCTAACGAAGACGTTCGATGGTAGAAACGCGTGTTACTTCAACACAGGGGTGATGGTGATGGACGTAGAGAAATGGAGAAAAGAAGGGTTTACACAGAAAGTGGAGGAGTGGATGAAAGTGCAGAAGGAGAAGAAGATATATAACTTGGGTTCACTTCCGCCATTTTTGCTGGTGTTGGCCGGAAACATAAAGGCGGTGGATCACCGGTGGAATCAGCACGGGCTCGGTGGTGACAATTTTGAAGGTAAGTGCAGGAGCTTGCACCCTGGTCCGATCAGTTTATTGCATTGGAGTGGCAAGGGCAAGCCATGGCTCAGGTTGGACTCCAGAAAGCCATGCATCGTCGACCACCTTTGGGCACCTTACGATCTGTACAGGTCGTCCAGACACTTTCTGGAAGAATGATGAGGAAGAAGACGACGCGTGCATGGCACGAACAAATATCTTGTTCTTATAGGTATATATATATGTAACGGTCAGGATTTAATCTTTAGAGAAATTAAAGGTCGAGTTTTCGCAATGGCTAGGGCAGGCATATGTACACTCGCAAGCGTGCACATATATACAGAAACGTGGTCAGGGAAAGTTGTGCGTGTGCGTATGTGTGTGGGTGGGGGAGGACAGTTTTGTAATTCATCAAATGACATATTGTTGAGTAGAGGAGAAAAGGATGATGTGTAGGGTTTTTGGATGTGAGAAGAATGATCTATATATATGTATACGACCTCTTCCTAGACGCAGAGCAATGTAAATTTGTAGGCAAGGAGAGAAGTTGTTGTAAATCCTTTTAATTTTATTCTTTTTTTGGTACGGCTGATTTGTTTTATTTTAATTTTTTCCTTATTACTACCTCCGGTTTTAAATATAAGATCTCGTTTATAAATTATAAATGAAATCTTATAATTAGGACTGCAGGTAGTACTAACTACATATAGTGTGGGAGTGCTGTGTAAATATATGATGAAATTAATAATAAAGTTGAACGTGAGCTTTATCTAAGCACAAAACTTCTCCAACCTTGAAGATTAAACGAATTAGCTTGGCACGTGGTGAGAAGTTATTTGTTTACTTATTAATTAATACTCCTCCGATCCTTAACATGACACCTAATTATTGAGTTGATTTTGATCTTAAATATAAGATTGATTTATCATATTTATCAATTTTTTCTAAATTATTCCTATGCATATTCTCTCAATCATAATCAAGTAGAAAAAGAAAGGAAGACATTAAGAAGATGATTATAGTATTTTAGAAAAAAATCATATTTTTTATAATTAAATAACTTATCTAATTTTTAATCTAATCAAATTAGTTAAATAAGACCGTAGGAGTAACTACTTTTGCCACCCTCCCTCGAAATCCTTGTCTGCTTACTCTTTTTCATCCCTCCAATGAATATGTATGGTCCGGGAATTAGTGCACGTCTTCTAGTCACTCTCAAAGTAAACATAAAGTAGGCTTATTTTACAATGAAATGGAAATTAAAATCAAACAGATTTGGAGTCAAAACCAAATCTTATGCTAATTATTAAAGGTGGCGTAAATTTCACTTTTTACATACATAGGTTACTTTACATATTGACGTAAATTTAATATATTATTCTATGCTTTATAATACATTACTATATTTTGGCCAAAAAAAAAATACATTACTATCTGTCCTAAGTCTAAGATCTAATGCGTAATGTCTTTTGCACTACAAATTAAATCTTATATTTAGGATTAAAGATAGCATTTTTCGCAAATTGATATGAAAAATCCTATAGTTGTGAAGGTTTAAGTCATTACGTGGTGATTGGGGTGTGAGGTTTTATATCAACTAGAGAGAGCATGAGTAAATGAGACTAGTAGAGAGCATGGTTAGAAAGAGTATCCTAACAAAAATAATATATATATATATATATATAATATTACAAATACTAAACTAATTTTTTTTTAATTTATTCAAATTAGTTAAATAATTCTGATACTATTATTAAGGACATGAAGTAATATTAAGTCAATACTAGTGGAATGAATTATTATAACTCATGAAATTTGATCATAAGCCATTTATATTAGCAATCCCATCATATATTATTGTTTAATTACTAGTTATAGCTACTACCTACGGTTCTTATTCAAGATATTAAAAAATTAATTAAATTAGTTACTTATCATAAACATATATTGGTCTTTATAAATTATTTCTTCAATCATATATAATGGATGATAAAATGCATTCTTGATGAGAACTCGACCCCTTACAATCAATCAATAATGATATTTTGAAAAAAAGAAGAAGACAAAGATATTATATTTAAAACAAAATCTAACTTTTCAAGTAACTCTTATATTAAGAATTTGATGTAGTAGTTATTCACTTATTCTCTCCCAAGTTACCTTATTTATACACATTGCTGAGTAATCTATAGCTAGCAAATACTATATGGTAATAGCTTATCTTATGGGACAAGTCAGCCATATCTTTGAAAACAAGTTCCTGGTAGGTTTTTCTTTTTTAACAAGTCAACTCGTTTGCGCCCTATTTATTCCAGTATAAAATTGCACGTTCAAGGCCGCCAATTCCAAATTCCCATAGAATCAGACCTCAAGTTGACAGAAATATATAGTATACCGCCATTTTATTTTTACAAACTAATAAATAATTAATCAATCTATCTATATATTTACGCACTACCTTCTGTCCTAAATATAAGAGCTAGTTGACTAATTTGAGTATGTTAAGAAAATAAATTAAGTTAGTTATTTATACTCCTCCGGTCCTTAATAAAGACCCATTAACTAATTTGATTAGATTAAGGAAGTTAGGTAAGTTAGTTAATTATAAAAAAGTGATATATTTTTCCTAAAACACCATATCATTTTCTTAATACCTCCTCTCCCTCTTCTATTTAATTATGGTTGAGAGAGTATCTATATGGGTAATTTAGAGAAAAATTAATAAATATGATAAATGGGTTTTATATTTAGGACCAAAACCAACTCAAAAATTGGGTCCTATATTAAGGATCAGAGGAGTAATAAAGAGTGTTATCTTTCTTAAAATATTTTCGCTAATTAAATGTAGTACTAGACTATCATTCTTAGAATGACTATATTGAGAAAAAAGTATAAATATGAGAGACAAAATAAAACGAGATCTTATATTAAAATCAAAATAAAAGTCAACCATATTAAGAATAGAAGGTAGTATAATAAAATCTATAACAAAACATGTCCATAATCTGATTAACTGCAAATTTTTGAAAATTCCATAAATAATAATTTATATTGACACAGTAATAATAATGATAATGCCAAAGATTTTTATGCGAGTGGGTGGAAGCTTACCAAATTTGTAAAAATCAGACTTGGCTCATGCTTTGCAGAGTTTTTTTTAAAAAAAACTTTATAGATAGATTTACAAAAATTTGTTTGTATCTTAATTTGAGACAACACTATATATATTTAAAAAAATTTATAAAATTATTTTCTGCTAAGAAAACTCAAATTTTTGGATAAAGATTTATTATTATTATTATTATTATTATTATTATTATTATTTTTCAAAGCAAGGCTGGTATATTTTCGTCTCGTGTTGAAATTTGGACACAATGATGAAAAGCCGCGAGTCATGAGCCACAGCAACCGAGTCACGGTACGAGTTGAAAAATCAAAATGAGAACCATTCGAATATTCATCTCGCTCGTCGAATCGAAGCTCGCAATAATCCACAATGGCGATGAGTAATTGACAATTACGACCAGAAAAATTCCAAAAGAGAAGCAAGTCCATCAACATCAGCTGCATATTGCGCGCGAAGATCATCAGTTAAGGAAGGAGCAAGCAAAAAGGGAAAGCGAAAAGAGAACGAGAGGGAGTTCATTGCGGAACCGATCTTCATGTCATTCTCGTTCTTTAAGGCGAGGCCTAAAAACGCCACAGGAGGTGGCCAGGTCTATCAAGGACAGTCTTAATGCCCTCGATACCAAGACTGTTGTTGAGTTAAAGCTCTCGAGAAGGTTTTGCTTCTATTCTGTGTTCTGCTATTACTTTTTTCGCATAACAATTTCAATGGTGTTCACGTTGTTGACTCACTCAATCTTCATCCTTTTCGATCCGAATCCTTAGTACTGTTTTTAAGCTTTCATTTCTTAGCCAAATGTGCGGACTTGATTTGCTGATAATTATAAATTTCTTGAGTTGTATCATGCGGATTGTTCTTTTTAAAGGGCACTTTTTGTCACCACCATGTGTTGTGCTATGAATATTCTGTGTTACACGCGGACGTGCTTGTTTCCCCCCTTTTTTTTCTTAATGGAATATTAATGCAACTTTCTGTGATATCTTAATTGTTTATTTTAATTTTTGTGATCATGAATTGTTTATTTGAGTGGCATTATTGGTGGAGTAACACTCTGCAGAAAGGATTTCAAGCTTTCAGCTTTTCTATGTGCATGTTTTTCCAAACAGCGGATGCTCTGATTTTGGCTCTTGGAAGTTTCCTAATGGAAGTTGGCTGGTTTCCTTTTGTATATCTTATAAATGAAGTTTTCTAGATAAGTCCCTTGTTTATCCAAATGGTGTACGGAGTTAGTAAACAAGCAGCTTGTATTGCAAACGCAAAATCAGAATCAAGCGAGAGTTCTCTTTACCATTTCAAGTACAAGTCATTCGTTCATTAGATTATGAAACTAATATAACTGAAACCTGTTAAGGAAATAAAAGAAGGCACAGAGAATATAACTTGAAAAATAGAAGGATGTATTTACTTCCCTTCATTAATCTTGTTGTAACATCTGTGGTAATACTACACGTGGTGGTTGCAAGCTCGCAATGTGTGAACTTGCGAACTTAACACTTTAATTCAGAGAGCATCTACAAAATAAACAACTACATTAATCTGAAGACGAAATTATAATTTGGTTGGTACATAACTGGTTTATATCTGGTTCTTAATCATCTCAAAGGATATCAGAGAGGTAGTTGTTTAGCTTCCATCTCAGGAATGCTTCCAGTTACTGCCATCTTTTTCTGGGAAGAAAATGAAGAAATAATGACCTAGAGGTGCGAACATTTTGTTGACTGTAGTTATTTTATATTAGATTATTTATTTTTTTATGCTTCATCAAAGGCTTTAGAGGAAGTTGAGAAGAACTTGCAACAATGAGGTGCATGCTTTCTGGAGATGGGGAATCAGAACCAAACATGGATCAGGTTACCCAGCTTGTAGATGAAGTTTGCAAAGAGGATGTTATTGATCTTCTAATTCACAAGCTGCCAACTCTGGGATGGGAAGTAAGATTTAGATTGATACCAAGCGCTAAAATGTTCAGTTGGCCAAATGGTTTCTGATTATAGTAATGTGAATTCTGATACAGGCAAGAAAAGATTTAGTCCATGCTGGTCCATATTGTTGA